AATCTGCCTCAAAAAAAAAAAAAAAAGAGAAGAAAAAAGAATGGCCTAAAACATTTTCTTATGTATAGTCAACTTCTGCATTAATCCTCACTGTTTGGCCTGGAGAGAGATGAATATATTTATTTTTAGCTTTAATTGCTTGAATTATTTTCCCAGAAAAATGATTTTTTTCTTTTTCTAAATATTTTTCTAAAGTGTTAATCAGAAGGGAAGTAGGTGAGACTTCTGGGGGTGGAAACAGAAGAGGGACAAGAAGATGGGCCGTCAGTCCAAATTCTACAAAGACATCTGATTTGGATCATCCTCTAAGCACTGTTGAAACAGGATACAGCCTAAACATCCTCCAACATCTGGCTTTTCCTTTGCCATAACTGCTGCTGGATTATTGTCACCTTTTAGTATCTTCTGGTTAACCAAGTGATCTAGCAATAGGTCTGAAATCATGCTGGTCAATAGAATCGCGGGAAAGTGAGACAAACAGGGGTTTCTGGCAGCTACCCTCTACACACTCCCCAACCACAGATTCTGACTCAGGAGGTCTGAGGTAAAGCCTTCCCATCATATTTTTTAAAAATTTCCACGGTATTCTGATTCTGCCTATTTTGTTTAAACATGTCCAAAAATGGGACCATAGCAAATTTTGTGTTCGAGGCTAGGTCAAAATACTTTATTATTACTTGCTAACAAATTTATTAATAAAAAGAAGAATTTTAGTGCTCTTAAAAAAATTCTAACTGTTGGAAAAACGAAAGAGTTTGATTTTCTGATATTAAATGAACTCTAGAGTAAATTGGTGGCTGTACGTTATGATTTCTATTTTTCTAAATTATGAAATATAGAATTTTTTTGTGAAATATAGAATAATTACTAAATCTCTGATTCTTTCTTTTTTTTTTTTTTTGTGAGGAGGACCAGCCCTGAGCTAACATCCAATGCCAATCCTCCTCTTTTTTTTTTGCTGAGGAAGACTGGCCCTGGGCTAACATCCGTGCCCATCTTCCTCTACTTTATACGGGACACCGCCATAGCATCGCTTGACAAGCGGTGCGTCGGTGCATGCCGGGATCCGAACCGGCGAACCCCGGGCCGCCGAAGCGCAACGCACGCACCTAACCGCTTGTGCCACCAGTCTGGCCCCTGATTCTTTCATTTTTCGAACTGTTTTTTTTTTGAAAGCAGTCACAATAGATCTGGTTCATAACAATGAGCTTGGAGCTTTGAAATTTGACTAGATCGTAGTAAAGGGAGGGCATGTTCTAAGGATGTTGAGTGCAAATCTCATCTACAGAGAATCAAACTCCTGTGTTTTTTCACTATATTAGAATAATATTTATTAACGAGAGCACTAAGATTCTCTTCAAGGCTTTCTCACCCCTCCCTGCCCCAGAGCCAGCCATCCAAGCGTGTCTTTTATTTTTTTATAATATGAAAGTTAGTCCTAGTTTGCCCTTGCAATTATTATTGGATGGTAATATATAAAAAGTAGAACTAAAAACTCTATAATAGCCTCTTGAACAATTTAGAGGATTGCTTACAGGACCATTGTTGCTTGTGGCTGGATTCCAGGGAGGGGAGCCCTTTATGGCGAGGACCTGAGTAAACAAGTGTGGAAAACAGACCCTTTGCAAATGTAAAATGTCATATATATGGTATTTATACTGGCTTTAATTTGTTAAGTACCTACTAAGTGCCAGGCACACTGTGAGAGGTGTGGTGTTTATTTAGTATCATGCCTCATCACAGCAGCCCTGAAAAATGGGAAATACTACCCCCAGTTATAGATGGGAAAAATACACTCAAAGGGATAAATAATTTTCGCAGGTGACTCAGCTAATAAGCCATTTTTATCATAAGAGTCATTTTAAAAATATCTCTTTACAGAACTCTTATAGGTGTTCTACCAATATAATGACTTTGTAAAGCATGGGTCATCAAGTAAACTTTCTATAAATACAGGAGTGTGAATGAATTAGTGCTCACAGCAACTCTGGGAGAAGACGATTGGAAGATCAGGGGACCATAAATCATTCAAACACAATAAAGGTGGAAATTATTATTTTTTCCATGTAAAACACCATGTGACACAAGTAGCAAAATTGGAAATCTACCTAAGAAGATACACGTTTAATAGATGAGGCCTCCTTTAGTCTGCTGGCTCTTTTCAGTCTGGTTGGTTTTCACACATGAAATTGCTTAATATGCAAAACAAATGTCTGCTTTATCGTTATAAATGATATATTCAAGATAGTTAAATGAATACATGATTAAATTCCATATTTTTTTAAATTAAAAATGACCCAAATCTACAGGGTAAATAGTTATATTGGAGGGGGTATCTGTGAATTTGTTTTAAATTTCTAAAAGAGTAGTAGGGACAATTCAGACCCCAGGGGGGATTTTTCCAGCTAATTTTAAAATTCGATTTCTCAAAATAATTTTAAAATTATTTCACAAAGTAGCCTCGCTAGCTTACCTGATTAAACTTCTCTATTAGGTAATATGTCAGCAGAGTATCAAATATCATAGTCTCAGAGAATTTTGTAGCCTCTATAGGATCTTAGTGTCGTAGAGTCGAGTATCATAGGATCAAGAGGCAAATCCTTGGTGGTGAATGGCCAGTACTAACTGAGAGAAGATTACTGAGCGTTGCTAGATACTGTGGAGGCCATAACTGATGCATAATAACTACTCTCTCCCTTTGAAGGAGATTACAGTAAAATTGAGGGTAGAAAGAGATAAACCTA